TCTTTCACTTCTGTGTCCATAGTTAGATTTCAGTTTCCTGAGTGTGTTTAAGGGACTTACTTTATTTTTTAGAGACTATTTATGACTTTTCTCCTTTGTAAATGCTTTGGGTTATACATGAGTAGAGTGTATTTGGACATAGCGCACATACGTGATGATGCGTGACTTCCCATTGTGTGGTGGTGCCTCACGTGGAGTTAGACTGCCCACGACCTCATCCAGGAACACAGGAAAGTTATGTCCCCTTCTTTCTCCTGTCTTTCCTGTTCCCACCCCCATCCAACCCAGGGACCCTCCACTCCTCCCTCCCAGCTCCTACTGAGAGTCACCTCCATGCACCAGAGAGGACATCTGGCCTTTGGTTTGGGGATTGGTTTATTTCACTTAGTGAGATAGTCTCCAGTTGCTCTCCACCAAATGCCGTAATCTATTCTTTCCTGAGGCTGAGTCTCCACTGTGCATGTGCCCCACGTTTCTTTACCACCCACCTGTTGCAGGCACCTGGCTGGTTCCGGACTCAGCTGTTGTGAATTGAGCTGCTATAAACCCTGATGTGGCTGCGTCACTGCAGTGTGCCCATTTCGGTCCTTTGGGTATAGACCTGGGAGTGGACCCTGGGTCACATGGTGGCCCCCTTCCTGGCTTTCTGAGGCGTCTCCATTCTGCTCTGCAGAGGGGTGCACACAGCAGTCCCTCCAGCAGTGGGGGCCTTCCCCACCCTCCCCAGCACCCACTATTGCCTCTGCTCTGGATGACGGCCCTTCTGTCTGGAGGTGGGACCTCAGGGTGGTTTTCGTTGCGTTCAGAGTCTTACTTTAAAAGCACCGTTTCTGCGTCTCCTCAGGGACAGTCTCTCTCCTGGATTTTACTTCTCTGAGAGGTCCTGCTCCCGACCTGCCTCATTACTTTTGTTGAAAGCTCTGCAGCTGGCTGTGCCCTGTGCTGGGCGCCTGGGCCACCTTGGCGGTGTGCTGGGCCATCTCCTCCACGTCCTGCTTGATCAGAGCTTGAAGGTCCGCCCAGGGGCCTGCGAGAGCTGCCCAGGTCTCCCTGAGCATGTGCCCCTCTGTGGGTGCTGGGGCCTCCTAGATGCCCAGGAACACTGGGGGGTCTTTCAACCCTTCACCCCTGGAGGCCCATCCAGCTTTGCTCAAGGCTGCTCAGGGCGCCGACTGTTTTCACAGATGACCTCCTTGCCCAAGAGGCCAGCTGATGTCCATCCGCCTTTGCAGGTTCTGAACAACACCCCACATTGCTGCTTGTCCCCGGGGAGTCCTGAGTCTGCAGATATCCAGGCTGCCCCTGAGCCAGTCCTCCAGGGGCCAGACAGGTCAAAGGGACGGCCACCCCTCCCCAGAACCAGTCCCCACCCTGCCCCTCCCTCGGCAGTGTCCAGCAGTGCAGAGAGTGTGGGCAGCACAGCTTTATTGATGTTCAGAGAGTGGCACTTCTGGGGACAAGAGCAGGGTCAGGAGGACCCAGTCCCGACTGGGCAGGGTGGTGGCCTGGAGCAGGAAGTGGGTGCACCAGCCAGCTCTCCCATGGGCGGGGCCGGAGAGCAGCCAGGGAGGGCTCAGGCCTCAGACTTGGGCTGGACAGGGAGGAAGGGCAGGAGCTGGTCCTTCTGTGTGGGCTCCCGCAGGCTGGGGTCAGGACACCCGGGTGGTAGGAGGGACCTGAGCCCACTGGCCTGGGGACATGGCCGGTCAGCAGCAGGACCTCTGGCCCAAGGAGACACCACAGCAGGCCGGGCGGGAGCAGGTGGGGCGGCAGAGCAGGGACATGCAGGAGGTCGGGCGGCAGCAGCTGGGCTGGCAGGAGGAGGCACAGCAGGAGGAGACGGGCACGCAGCAGGCGGGCCTGTACACGGGGCGGCAGAGCAGGGACACGCAGGAGGAGGGTCTGTAGCAGCAGACGGGCTTGCAGCAGACGGGCACGCAGCAGGTCGGCTGGCAGGGGGAGGAGCTGCAGCAGTCAGACTGGCAGCTAGACTGCTGGCAGCAGGAGGAGGAGGCTCCAGAGCAGACGGGCACACAGCACACGGGCTTGCAGCAGACAGGCTTGCAGCAGACGGGCTTGCAACAGAGGGACACACAGCAGGACTGCTGGCAGGGAGAGGATGAGCAGCAAGAGGGCTCACAGCAGGACTGCTGGCAGGGGGAAGAGGAGCAGCAAGAGGGCTCACAGCTAGACTGCTGGCAGCAGGAGGAGGAAGCCTCAGAGCAGACAGGCACACAGCACACAGGCTTGCAGCAGACAGGCTTGCAGCACACGGGCTTGCAGCAGAGGGACACACAGCAGGACGGCTGGCATGGGGAGCAGCTGCAGCAATCAGATTGGCAGCTAGACTGTTGGCAGCAGGAGGGGGTGCAGACTGATTGGCAGCAGGGTCTGGACACACAGCTCACTGGGGTGCAGAGGAGGGACAGGCAGGGGGCCTGGGTGCAGCAGCTGGGCTGGCAGCAGCTGGGTTGGCAGCAGCTGGGGGCGCAGCAGGGGGGCTCGCAGCAGCTCTCTGGGCAGTCGTCCACCTGCCAGGAGGACTCTGGGCAAGAGCTGGAGCAGAGGGACATGGTGGAGGCGGCCATGGTGGGTGTGCTGGAGGAGGTGTGAGTGGGTGAGTGTGGGTGAGTGTGGGTGTGTGGGGGGAGCTCTGGGCTGTGGGCCTTTTATGGGCCAGGCGTGTGTTGTCCATGGGGCTCCAGGAGCTCCCCTTCCTGGTTGGTCTTGGGCGGCCCTGGGAGCCTCACCCACGTGGTTGTTTACACAGGAGCTGCTCAGCCTGTGACAGGCGTGGACATGGTGGAGCAGTGGTCAGGGACCGTGTCCTGGGTCCTGTAAACAAAACATCAGGAACAAGGACCCTGGGGCCTGCCAGTGTGCAGGGTCCTCCACCCAGGGAATGGCAGGAGGGAGGTCCAGAGCCTACCCTGGCCTCAGGAACTGGACTTGGGCATGTGAGCCCAGGGAGCTGGCCAGCAGTGGAGTCTCTGCCACAGAAGGCCGAGTAGAGTCCAGGGCACGGAAGCGGGGATGGGCACAAGTGACCCCTGAAAGCAAGGCAGAGACTGGGACCCGAGGGAGACAGAGTCCTAGGAGACAGGCTTCAGGGAAGAGCGTGGAGGAGGCGTGAAGACACCCGGATCTGGACACACGCCTTGGGGTTTGGAAGCCGGGCCTCATGGTGGACGAGCTGGAGGGCACTGCAGGCCTGGACAGGCTGGTGTCACAGAGGCCACAAGGGGGCGCTAGAGCTTCATCTCTGCTCAGATCTGGGTGCCAACAGGACCCAGCCCAGTGCCAGAGGGGAAGTGACCAGAGTCCAGGGGACCACCACCCTTCAGAGAGCACAGCATGAAGGCCGGGGTGCAGACAGGAGCAGTCCCATGGAATGTGGGTGCAGACCACAGGAGGAGCCAGGACCCGGGGACGGCCCTGGGCTGGGCCCCCGCCTTGCTGTCCCTCAGCGCCCCCAGCCCATGTTGGTGGTGTGGGGTTCTGGGTTCTGACGGGCAGAGTCCTGGATCTGCCACCACAGGGCCAATCGGAGGCCGTCCACCACCCCAGGGCTTCCCGTCGCCCTCTGTGCACAGGCCCCTTCTGCGTCTTTCCCGGAGTGTGGCCGGCCTGGACTTCAGCGTGTGGCCCACTGAATGCCGGCCCACGGGGCCTTGGTCTGCCCTTCTGCACAGCTGAGCCGGGGTCCAGGAGCCGCTTCTTTCCCGGGCTCCAGGTCTGCAGTGGGGGGTCGTCCCGCTGGTCCTCCGTGGCTGAAGGGCATGTCGAGGGTCTCCCGTTGGTGAGGACTGTGCCCGGGCTCCTGGCGTCCACGCGGGAACACCTGGGCATGGAGTGGCTGGGCCCCTGCTCAGGGCCTTCGGGGGGCAGGAGGCCGTGGCCTTGCGCTGAGTGCTGGGCCCTGCTGCAGAGCCCGGTCACAGCGCCGGTGACGTGGGGTGGCCGCAGCGTGCTCACTGTGCTCACTGGCCACTGTTCTCAGCGGCTGCAGCTCTGGACATCTGCAGAGTCCTGCTCCTCCGCATCCCGCCAGCACTCGGGTCACACGCTCCTGTGGCTCGGCCGCCTCCCCTAGAGGCTGTGGTGTGCGAAGGTCCCATGTCCTCTGCTGCCCCTGCCTTTGCCCCGTGGGGGGATATCCCTGAGTCTCCAGGCCTCTGACCACCGGCTGTTCTGGACGTCGCGTTTCCAAGGTCCTGTCTGTCCTTGGGTAGGCGTGTGTGGGTCTGGGCCCTGTCTTCTGTCCGTCCACAGTGCGTCTGGAAATGAGGGACGTCAGTGAACTCGGCTGCTCTCAGCTGAGGGTGCCCAGGGCCGCAGACTCCCCTCTCCGGGTGCCTCCTTCGCCCTGTCATCAGACCGCAGGAGGCCTCCTGGGTGTCCCTGCGGGTCTCTCCCTTCCCGGGCGTGACCACCAAGACCTCTACTTGGTGGTTCTTTTTTTCTACTTTGTGTTTTAGTGCAGTTCCATTCCCACATAAAGGTCCGAATCAGCTCCTGGTCTGAGCCCAAACACGGCGGGGCCTGAGGGCCACAGCCAGGCTGGGTGCGGCCCCTGGACGCGGGCGCGTGCCCTTCACCGTCCTGGTCAGGTTCCCCCTCGGTGACCTCCTCGTCCTCGTGGGCACAGGTCCCTTCAGACTTCCTCCTCCACGGCCACGTTTTGTCCCACTGTGCGCAGGACTCCTGATCAAGACTTCCGGTGCCACCTGTCCGTCACCGACTGGCGGGAACACGATGCGTCCTGGCTGTTCTGAGCCTGTGACCCTCACAGCTCACCCGCAGGCTCTGGCCTTCTAGTGCGCCCTGGTTTCCCTGGGCACGGCCTCGCCCTGGGCCCAGCTGAGCTGGCCTCATGTCCTTCTCTCAGGCCCCTGGGAGGACTTCAGCTTGACCAGGGAGAGGAGGGGAGGAGGACCCCCGACTGGACCCCTGAGGGGGGACACGCAGCCTGGGCCCTTGACTGTGGTGCTGGTGTCTCCTGGGCGCCTGATATAGGCTGGACAGGGACCACTGTCCACTGCCAGCTCATGGAGAGCTCCCTAGACATCAGGAGGAGCCCAGGACACAGGTCCTGCGGGGTGTCCCCCGGCGGGAAGGTCGTGGGGAAGCATGTGAGCCCTGGAGAGTGAGGCCAGGCAGAGCCCTGGGGGGATAAGGGGTGGACGCAGGAAAAGCAGGGGCTGCTGCCCTGCCACGTGCCATCTGGGCCAGGAATGCCCTCAGCTGCTCAGGGACAGCGTCGGGGATGCACGGGGGACAGGGCCAGTCTGCGCCTCCCTGAGGTGTGGCCGAGGGCCGGCGCAGGCTTCCTGGGTTGACACGCTTTTCTCTGTGTTTATTGATTCTTTTTTGTCTTGATCTTGGTACAGTTTCTTGACCCAAGACCCCACAGCCACCTGGGCTTTGCTTTTGAGTGGGTCGGAGGCTGCCCGAGCCGTGGGGCCAGCTGGACACAGGAGGGAGACGGGGAGTCCTGGGCAGTGAGGTGGCTGGCTGCTGCACACCCTCCACAGCGGGAACAGCAGGGCGCCTTCCCTGGAACTGTGGTCTGAGCCCTGTGGTCACGAGTGGCCGACGGAAGCAGTGGACAGAGCGGGGTCAGGTGACACGCGGTGACCTGACACTATTGCACGGTGTCCCTGCACAGCTCCCCAGGTCGGGAGGGTCTTCAGGACAGACTGACGGTCCCGTGTGCCTCTCCTGCCCTGGACTGAGGCTCTCAGGAGGCTGCAGCCCAACCCGGGTTGGTCCCTGGGTGAGAGGACGGGCCACCAGCCCGGCCAGAGCAGCACTCCTCCTGGGCCACCAGTTTGAGGGTGGACTCTGCCCTGGCGTGGACAGGGCCCACAGACACGGGGTCGGCGAGGCGGGCAGGGCGCAGCGGGCACCCCAGCCAGTGCGGCCGGCTGGGTCAACAACAGGAGCTGTGGAGCCACACAACATCCTCCTGGCTGGAAGGTTCCAGAACTGAAGCCCAGAAGAAAACGGCTCCGTGTTTGAAGGCCCAGCACCGTCCCCTGGCGGCTGCTCTCAGGGAGCTGCTGGGTGGAGACCGACGGCAGGGCTCCCTCCGGGGCTCCATCTTCCAAGCTGCGGCTCTGCGTTTTGCCCATCACCGGGTCCTCGCTTGACCCGTCTCCGTCTCACCTCTGTCCCCTCCCTCCTTCATTCTTCCCTCATTCATTCCCTCCTCTTTCTGAATTTTCCCCCTATTGCCCCCCTCCCCAGCTCAGTTCACGTATCATGGTCAATGCTCCTCTCCACCTGCTCTGTATTCGCTCCCTCTTCTCCGTGGTTAGCAGAGTCGCGGGGCTCAGTGGTCACTTTCAGCACATGTCGGTCATGCTCTTTCGTCCCCATGGCCACTGGTGGTCTCCTCTCCTCTCCCTGGTGGTTGGACCTGGCCGTGGAGTCCCTCTGGCTGGTGTGTGGCAGCTGAGATTCACCCTGTCGCAGGACTTACTAGGAAGAGAAAAAGGCTCCCTGGTGATCCCCCCCCCATAGATGTGCAGACACAGGCCTCGGGCAGCTTGGGAGACAGGCCTCCAAAGCCGATGACCCCAAGCCTGAGTCCATGGACACTGAAGAGGAAGAAATCCAGCCGAGATAATTTAAAAGATCAACTGTTAAAATGGTGATGAGTTAAGAGAGGATCTAAGGAATGGACCAAGGGGGAAACGCAGGACGTGAAGCACATTTCAACAGAGCGATTCTGAAAAGACGCCAAAGAAGTCGTAAAAAGGAGACTCAATGAGTCAAATAAAAATTCAGGTAAATCTGACTCCAGATGGCAGACTAGAGGGAGGCCGTGGTCACTCCGTGGCTCGGGATTCAGGCAGCGGGAGCCCTGCTCTCAATGAGGGGGGTGAAACTGGGTTTCCCTAAAATTCAGTATTGGACAGTCAGAGTGTCTCAGAGACGCAGAAAGCTGGGTGCATTAAACAAAGACGACTCCACGGGAGCCCAGCCGGCTGCACACTGGTGGCAGCACTGGCTCAGCACAGAGGGAGGGAGAAACCTGAGGGGCAGATGTACAGAGAAACACCTGAGGTCAGAAAAGCAGCCTGAACTTAGCTGAGCCAGAGACTGCACTGTGCAGTGGTGCCTGAAAAGTGCTCAGGTTCCCAACTGGCTGGTGGCGCCACCTTGAGGCGGCCGTGCTGCCACTGCTGCTGCAGGAGTCAGGTCCCAGCCAGCGCCTCACACAGCCTAGGGCACACCTGGCAGAACACTAGTGGAACAGGCACAGAGAGGACTGCGCCCAGGGGAGTCCAAGTCAGAAGGTCAGAGGGGAGTCCAGCTTGCTTCCCTTTCAGTCTAGCAGTTTATGTGACCAGCTGCAGCAGGTCAGGGACCCAAACAGGCGGGTGTGACCACACTCGGGGATTAAGCCTGGGAAGGCTGTGCTCATGGGCAGCAGAAGGTGTCGAGGATTGGCTCCTGGGCCCCACAGTGGAATTCTTGGGAAGCTCCTGGGATCCAGACCCCAGACAGACCCCAGGCCCTAGGGGTGTGTTGCTCTAACATCTCCAGAGCAGTCACCACCCAGCCAAGCCCCCGGGGCCTGATTAGACCTAAGCCCCAG